TAATGAGCCCTTGAAAGCAAGGAGGGGCTATGAAGCTACCTAACGAAGGGCAAATCAGCACAGGCGGGAAATGGAAAAGGTCAAAGCTTCTGTGCCAATAAGCAAGAGGATCAGCCCATGAACAGCTTCCATACTTCCAGCCTGGGCAAGATAGAGAGATCCAATTTCAAAAAACAGGGGTGGGGTGCATGTAACTTCCATGTAAAAGGACAACTACGTAAACTGCTCAAGAGCATGCCAGGATTCCTGGACATAGCTGGTCCAAGACCCAAAATGAAAGGAAAAATGAAACTGATGTGATAACATCTGTCCAAAGGAAAGTCACCTGCAGCTATAAGAAAAGGGGGAAAAGCAATAAAAGGAAGCTCTTAAGAAATGGGAAAAATAAAGATGGACTCAAGGTAAGGCCAGGGGATTATGGCAAAGGAAAACTAAGAAAACAACCAACAATGTCAGTAGGCCATGCAGCAAGAATACAATTCAACAAACAATTAAAGCCTACTCTGTGCAAGGGGAGGCACCGGGGATAAAACGACAAATAGGGCCTACCCTAGAGGAGTTTACATTCGACTAGAGAAGCAACATGTAAAAGGTTAAGTAAATGTAAGATCATTTGATAAGAGCAAAAATAATAACCTCAGGGAGACCATCACTCTAGTTGAGGAAAGGAGAAAAAGTGGTCTTGTTTCAAAAGAAATGGCCCCACCTGAGGTTCAGAGAAGTTAGAACATCTTGGGAAATTAAGAAAAGAAAGTACCAAAGGAGGCCAATACATCTTTAAAAAAAAAAAAAAAGGTCTACAATAAGTAAATAAGAGGGAAAAGAAACCTAAAACATGGCACAAGTGGAAAATGTCAAAAGAATGGATTGAGGAGGTGAAGGAATAGAGGGAACTGAAAGAGAGCCATAAAAAAAAAAATTAAGAGAAATCCCATAAACTATGAAAAATAAATGAAAGTGAGGACATGTACTACTGACAATATAACAAGGTAAGTGGTTAGAAATGCAGCCTACATAAGGAATTCTGGGAGAAGAAAACGGGAAAAGCAAGAGAAAGAATGCATATTTAAGTTTGGTGTGTTTATGGAAAACAGACAAAAGTCTAGAAATTGTTTCTGTTTTGGCTGTAGATTAAAGAACTGTAAATATATAACATGTAAATAGCTTTCAAATAAAAACCTGTAAACAGCAACTGAAAATACATGTGAACATTCTGCAGGAAAGTACTTTACAATTATACATTTGAAAGGTTTCAAAGTTGAACACAGTCCCTTTCTTAAAATTGTTCTTTGAGCAGTCGATATTAAGTATAACTTTCTAACTAACAATGTTCTTAGCTCCTTTTGCCACAGGGAAATTTGATCATAAACTCTGATATAGCTATTAAACAAGCTCCTTCAATTTGTACATATGAGGAGCCAACAATACAGAAACACTGCCAGAAGTTGTAAAGGTTAGGAGGAAAAAGATGTTTTTTAATATCACAGATGCCTGCTACATACAACCACAATTCCTTCCATTGAGGAGATTCTAATCGATTTTAGAACTACATGTGAAGACATATCCTACTCCCTGATTAAGAGAGTGCTACCTAACTAACTGGAAAATGGATGATCAATCTGTGTTTACTGCTTTATCTTACCACATTTTGCTCCTTTTCTTCAAAGGTATTTCAACTCCTTTCATTTGCCCCCAGGATTAAATTTATGGAAAAATGCTAGCAAATAAAAAATCATATGTATCTTATATATATTATTGAATGAATAAATTCTAATTCACTTTTTTCCCAAATGGAGAAGTGATCATGGGTGACTAATCAAATTTTTAAATCTCTCAAAGAGAATAATCCTCAAAAACATTTATGGCACTCTTTCTTTTGCCCTCCTTTCCTCTCCTCTCCTTCAATCCCCAATACCACTTCAGATTTCCACATTTTTCTATAACCTGAACAACCTCTCCCCACTCTCCTATTTTTCTTCTCCCCAAAAAGCAACAAAGAGTTGTTCCTGGAATCAGTGAAGATCTTAAAGCTTAGGAAAAGAGGAATGAAAGAGTAGAAGAACATGGAAGTTGTCAAAGAATAGAAAAGGGAGGAAAACACCATGAGAAGGGCTCAAAGGAAATGAAACAGGAAGAGCATCATGGGAAGAGATTGAACCTGGTGCTATACCACAGTAGTTTACCTTTTCTCCCATATTCTATTATAATCCTTTCCCTCTTTAACATTAACTATATACATATATGTATATATATACATACATATATGCACATATGTATAAAAATAAACAATTGTTCTAAAATAGTGATATCGAATAAGTCAATGTCCATTTCATTGTATAAAAAAATAGCCATTTATCTCAGTTTTTGAAATGATTACTCAACCTACAATTCCTACAAGCAACTATTACATGCTACATTTTCTAGGATAGTCAAAATTTCTAGAAAACACACACTTTAACAAAGTACAAAAGAAATAGCTTTTGTCAGATGATGTATTCTAATTTTTTGGCTTAGAGTATTTGACGATTTTAGCTATGCCCCAATCTTAGAGTACCACAGACTTTGCAGTCTGCAATATTCAAATTAAAATTAGTTGAAAAAGTATATTACCACTAGCAATTACAGCCTTTTTTTTTTTTAAACAATCGTTGACTATATCCAAGCTTTCCTGTTCATCTTGTGATGACAGCAAAACTAGATTGTTATTACAAAAATGAAGCAAGCATCTTTTGGAAGGGCTGCCTAAAGTAAACATTTCATAATTTAAAAAAAAAAAAACAAATACTCTGAGACCATAAAGTATGTTTCTTCAGGTATAGGATCAGTCATCAGTAGAATAACTAGTATGAATTGGCTTTTTCTTTGCTGATATTTTTTTTTTCCTCCAGGAGAACTGTCAGGTTGAGCTAAATGATTAACAGCTTCTCACCTGGTTCCCTTGCAAGACATTTTGGACAGGGTTAAGGTGAAGTTAGTGGCCTTGAAACAAAGCTGTTGTCTAAGAGACACTATTGTCTAATCAGGGAATCAGATCTTCCACTCTCATCTTATTAGCACCAAACAAACTTTAGATTTTTCCATCACACAATTTCTTTTAAAAATTCAAATTCAAATTTTAATTTTAATTTTTTTTAAATTCCATCAAAAAGAATTAATGATAACTGAATTCTGTAATTACATATTCCTAGTACTTCAATGGCAAACAAAAGTTCAAATCTGCAAAACTTAAACTTCACCTTCATGCTAGCTCCATTAACTACCATAGCTACAGCTAAGTGATTTTAAAGCCACTGTAGACATTGTTTCTTCTGCTAAAGGGATTCCAAAGGAAGTAGGTGGACATTTCCTCACAACGACCTAACCTAGGGAATCAAGAGCTCTAAAAAGCTTCGGAGGCTGCAGCCCCTTCCCCTGGCAAGTCAGTAAGAACAGAAAGATATGAGACCATCCTTCCCTTTCCTTCAATACTGCCTAACCTAGCAAGCTCAACTATTGAGCAGAGAGCAAGACAGATTTTGGATTTTATCTCATTCACAAAATCAAGGTTACACCTTAGATGCACTCCAACAGTCTATATCCAAGTACCCTTTAATCATCTTAATATATTATCACTCAGCAAACTATTTTAATAACCAAGTTATGTCAATTCCATTGCACAATTATATTGTATAAATTTTATCCAAAAATAAATCTTATGAGATTACTGAATTGACAAAGTTTGATCTTTTTCTATTAAGTTTACTATAAAATTTGTTATGCAAGAACACCTGAATTTCAGATGTCCTAATTCAATAATGAAGCTGCTATACTTCTTTTAAATTCCAGGATTCCCCAAGGAAGTAAAGTAGCTTTGGAGGAGGGGGAGATTGGGGAGAGGAGGTAACCTAGTACTGCTCAGTAATAACAAAATGCTCAATGAAATATATATAGTGAATGGTAAAATAAAGCCACTCTGAAAAGTCTACTTTTAAAAACTGTAGGAAAAATTAGCTATAAACAACTTAAGTTTAATAGACTCGCACTGCTTATACTTTTCTGAGAACAGTCCCAGAAAAACCAATTAGTAAGCACATACTTGTCTCATCTTTCACTTTCTTGACAAAAGTGCAGGGGCTCAGTTAAGCAGTCAGGGAGTGTTTTTTGAGTATAATAATAGAGGAGAAAAACTGCAAGAGTATATTATAGAGAGAAAGATACAAGGATTAATGTTTACTATACTTATTAAGAGGCAAAAGATTAGAGATACGGGAATATTATTGAGACAAAAGAAGAAGCAACAGGAAAGGAAAAACACAAAGGAACCCATTCAAATGTAATCAAACAGTAAAGAAATCCCAGATAAAATGTTTTGCTCAAAATCTATCTGTTTTATTGAGGCTTTAAAAGTAAGATATAGGAGAGGAGGGGAAGGGAAGAGTCTTTAGGGCCACTAGAAGAATCTAATGAATTTTGATTAATTGGCTACTTAAGTGATTTTTTTTTCTCATTTTTGTAGTCAATTGACACATTTTGCCAAAAGTATGAGACAATTATCTTTGTAAAGCATAATCTGATGAGTCATCATTCGAATTTAAGAGCTTATGCAAACCCAGCACTTTCTCTGGGTAGTATACTAATACCTCCCAGGGGGTACCCTAAACATACGCTAAGGGAGTTTGTTTTGTGACATACTGAGCGTGCAAACTTAGGAAGCGTCAAACACAGAAAGCTAAAGAAAAGGGTCAGGTACCTGAGGGGCTTTACAAGAAGGGAGGCAGCTGCAAGAAGACTGAAGCACCTAAGTGCTAAGAAAGAGGTGCTGTGGTGAATGACAGCAGGTGAAAAAGGAGACATCTCCACCTGGGAGCGGGGTCTAATAAACACTCCCATTTTCCTCACTGACCGGCGTCAACTAGCATTAAAGAAAGCTATCTCGGTGCGAGCCTGTAACGCAGAAGGGGAGGGGGAGGGGGAAGGGGAGCCCAGCGGGGGTCCCGAGAATACCGCCACCACGTACTTACTTTCGTCCTGCCGTTGATTTTGTAGTTGCCCAGCTTGCCGTTACAGTGGCGGATCAGGTCGTCCATGCTGCTCATGAGCCGTCCGATGGTCTCGCAGCCCGGCTCCTTGCCTTCGATCCAGGTGATCTTGTCGCCCCGGATGTCCTTGGAGGAGTCGCTCTTCTGGCTGACCAGCTGCCCATCGGTGAACTTACCGGTGTCGTGCAGGGCCCGCACCTCGTCGCCGATCTGCTGGCCGGTCTCCTTGCCCAGGAAGTCGTCCACCACGCAGATGCCGTGCTTGTTCATGCACGGCACGATGTACTCCAGCGCCAGCTTCAGCGCCGGCAGGGGCTTCGTCTGCCCGTTGGGCCTCAGCATCAGCCCCAGGCCCGGGGGGCTCAGCTGAGGGCACGCCGAGCCGCCCGGGCACAGCGGCGACCGGCCCAGCGACTCGTCCCTTCCGGACTCCGCCTCCGCAGGGCCCGCCGCCGGCCCGTGGTTGTTGACGGCTGCGGGAGGAGGCGGCGGCGCCGCCGCCACGGAAACCACGGCAGCCTTGGCCGAGGAGGCTGCTCCCTCCGGGGCGGCCGCGGAGACTGGAGGCGGAGGCGGCGGCACCGCCCCCGAGCCCGCGGCCGCGGCCGAGGCGGCCTCCGGGGAGGTGGTGTCCCGGCGCGGCGGCTGCTGCTGCGTTTTCTTGGCTTCTTTGAGCCCGGCCCGGCCGGCCTTGGGCGGCGTCGCGGGGTGCGGGGAGACCCCGGGGGGCTGGGGCTGCGGGCGGCCTCCTCCGGCCGGCCCGTGCTCGGCGGCTCCCCCGCCGCCGTGGCAGACGAGCTTGTGCTTCTTCCAGTCCTGGCGCTGGTGCTCCTTGCTGCAGTAGAAGGAGCTGCGGCAGCGGCTGCAGCGCAGCAGGTTCTCCATCTTCCCGCACAGCTCGCAGTACTGCCGGTCCCGCTCGCTCGGGCTCAGCCCGCCGGCCCCGCCGCTGTCATTGGCCATGGCGGCGGCGGCCCCAGCCGAGCTCGAGGGAGTAACGGGAGGGCGGACGCACGCCGGGGAAGCAGAGGGGCGGACGGCCGGACGAAGCGGCTGCTACTGCGCCATGCACCGCCGCGGCAGCCCGCCGGGCCCTCGCCTCCGCGGCGCCCCGGCCCCTGCGCAGCGCCGGCCGCCCGGCTCCCGGCAGCCGGCAGCCGCCTCACGGCCTGATCCCCGCCACCGCGGGCTGCGGAGGACTACCTTCGCTCGCTCGCTCTCTCCTTCTCGCGGTGGGGGGTGGGGTGGGGTGGGGTGGGGTGGGTAGGATAGGGTGGGGGTGAACGAGGACCCGGGCGAGGGTCGCGCGACCTACGCGGCGCCGGCCGCCCTCACGTCTGCGGCCCTGCCAACCCGGCCCGGCCCGGCTGGCGGAATGGAGAAGACGGCGGGCGGGCGGGCGCCACTCGCTCTGCGCGCTCTGCACGTACACCACGGCCCCGCCGCGACCCGGGCGGGCGAAAGGGAGGGGAGGGGAAAAGAGGGAAGGAGGGAGGGAGGGAGGAGATCACTCACACACGAGCGCAGCGAGGCGGCGGCTCCCGCTGCTCTGGCTACTGCTGCTGCGGCGGCGGCGGCTGCTGTCGCTCCAGCCTCCTCCCCCTCCGCCAGCCGGGCGGGCGGGGCTGGACCGCGGGCTGCGGGACGGCCGTCCTCTCACCACTCCCCCCCAACCCCCAGTATTCCGCTCAGCCCGGGGCGGAGCCTCGAGATACACTCGAGCTCCAGCCCGCTCACCCCTGGGGGGGATATTAAGCAAAGGAGATAACAGAAAAGCATGGACACATCTCACATTCACCCTTCCAAGCGTACGCCACCATCACCACCCGTGCTTGCACTACCCCGCACACCCCATCCCACTGACCTTCAGTTCCTAACACCTGCTTAAGAAGAATGAATGGCGCTTACCAGAGCCAACTCTGTTGGGAGCACAGAAAGGAACTGAAATGGTTAAAAACAAACAAAAAATAAGCGCTCTTGCGTACGGGCTAGTCCTAAAACCTAATTTCTCATTTCTAAATCCACTCAACTAAAGCATCACTATTGAGGACATACTCATTATATTTTTATTGTGCTGTTTTTATTAGAGGAAATTTTTAAAAGGCGACTTAAATGAGACCCTGTATAAAAATTGGCATGGATGAGTAATGCTTAGAATTGAATCATGCCAGTTTTCATAGCCAGCTGCTAAAGCTTAAGACTAAATCTCAAAAGCATAGAATCCAAAGCTATGTGGTCAGCTCCTCTCCAAACGCAAACATGTGTTACAAGGAGTGTTTGAACAAAAAGAAAAATCCCCCTTAGTAATACCATTCATGTTAACAAGTCATAAATACCTCATCAAACATAAGTGCTTTATAAATGTGAATTATTTTTGGAAGCCAAATATGCCTTGAGGGGTGGGGAGGAGAAGGGAAAGAGCCTCCCTCCATTCACCTTAGGAAAAAAGTACTCACATAGATCAGTCTATCAACAAATATTTAATTAAGCATTTACTAGGAACTCCACTGAAGTCTAGTCCCCATACCTCATTGCAGGTTGGAGGCGACCCTGGCTGCTAAAAGGCCATATGCCAGCTGAGCACAAGCTTTGGCAGATTCCTACCAAGCTGGAAAAACTTCGAGTACTAGCCAGGGACAAACTGTATTGTCTGTCACCCAAGGTCCAATATAGCTAAATTTGGAGAAGCTTATCACCAAAGGTTAGTCACAAGGTGACAGATTCATATTTTTGATCACAGTAACCACAGAGATTTGTCTAAGTTGTAGTTTAGAGAGAGTACCCACCACAATTAAATCATGGATCTTTTTGGTATATTAAAGTATGTACAAGACATTGTACTAGGCCTAGATAAACCCCAATGAGCATCAAATACCCTTGTACTTTCTTGAAATCATTGTAGAGGGTTTACAGTAAACTGATAGATGCTCTAAAGAACTGCAAATCAAGAGAAAAAAATTAAATAATTTTTTGTAGTGTTAATAGTTGACATAACCACTTCTGGTTTTTTTATATTAAAATTTTTGTTTTAAATTACAATTCTTATATCCAGAAACCCTGGCCTTCTTTCAGTTCAACAAACAAGACACTTCATCTCTTGACTCCAGGCATTTTCTCCTGCTGTCCTCCTCCCCCACCCCACCCCTCCAAGCCTGGAATGTTCTGTGTCCTCATCTCCATATACTGACTTCCTTGGCTTTAAGTTCCAATTAAAATCCCATCTCCCACTGGAAGCTTTTCCCAACCCCTCTTAATTCTTATGCCTTCCCTCTCTTAATTATTTCCTATTTATCTGGTATGTAACTTGTTTATAACATATTTGATTGTTGTCTCCTCCATTAGATTGTAAGCTTCTTGAAGGCAGGGGCTATCTTTTGGTTTTTTGTTGTTGTTCTGTGTCTTGTTTTTTGTTTTGATTTGGGTTTTTTTTTTTGTATCTCCAAGGCTTAGCACAGTGCCTGGCACATAGCAGGCACTTAATAAATGTGACAAGTGTCTTGGATAGAGCATCACCTTGTAGTCTGACTAAAATTTACTCAAAGCTTTTGATGGTCTCAGTTGCTTTAGTTTGGAATCTGGAGAGGCCAAACCCCAGGACAGGTCTAGAGACCCCAAACAAATTGTTCAATTTCAGCCCAGGGTTCACAGAGTAAACACATCCATCTTTCCCCCATCACTATCCATGTGGCATAGTAGATGCTCCAGATAAAAGTCGTTACCTTCTGGTTCCATGGATCTCCAAAAGTCTTCGAGGGTGGTGCACAGAAAACTTGGTCCCAGGTGCTTTTCAGCATGGTCTAGCCCAAGACCAGGTCACTGCCACTGCCATGTTGAAGGTGGGGTCCTGCCTCTGGGCACATCCAATTGTTCTAATTTGACATTTGCTGCTGTGAGAGACCCAAAAAACCAAACAGCTGGATAATAGAGATAGAGATGATAGATGATAGATAGGGTAGGATGATAAATAAGTAAGGGTATATAGATATAGATAAATTTATATAGGAAAAGACTGATAAAGGTAGATAATAGAGAAGGATAGATAGATATAATAGTATAATAGATACATAGAATAGATGATAGAGATGATAGATCAATAACAGAGATAGATAAATAGATAAAGACAGAGATAGATAAATATGATAGAGATACAATAGGATGATAGATACGTAGAGATGACAGACAGATAAATGAGAGCTAGATAAAGAGATGATAGGTAAGAGAGCAGATAGAGAGCTAGATAATGATAAGAAGATAAATGATAAAGTTAGATATAGATGTGTATCTAGATCTATATATCAAGATCTTAATATCCATATCTATGTGTAGCCTCTGTCCCTCAATTTTGTAACAGATACGTCCCCATCCATTTGGTTGGTGGAGTATGTTTCACTCTGAGTGAATAAAGCTTCAACACTCCTGTCTCTGTGTCCTTGCTGATCAATTGACAAATGGCCAGTCAAAAGAACCCAGAGAAGAAATACTCATATGACAGTGAAATGTTAGGTTTCTTTATTTACTTATTACAAGTAGTGACATAATATAATGGAAAGGGCACTGGATTGAAAGTTGAAGGACCTGGACTCAAGTTCTAGCTCTACTACTTAAAAGGTGTGTGACTCTGGGCAATTCATATCACCTCTCTGGGCCTCAGTTTATTCATGGATTGTAGATCTTAACTCTGTAACCACTTCTAATGAGCGGGATACCCATCAGTTAAATTTCACTGAAATCTATTAAATCACATAAGACATCCATTTTAAAACTTTTGTTGGCTGCCATCTTGTTCCAAGAAAGCTTAGTTAATAGTTAATGCTGGTGTAATAGATAACTGTGCTGGATTTTGAGTCAGGAATACCTGGATTCAAATCTTTCATGAAACAAGCTGTGTGATCCTAAGCAAGTCACTTACACTATCTCATGTCAGTTTCCTCATCTGTAAATGGGGATAATAACCATACCTGCCTCACTGGGTTGTTGTGAGAATCAAAATAAGATGACATATGTAAAGCACTTTGCAAACCTTAAAGTGCTAGATAAATACTAGTTATTATAATGCTGTTACTATCAGCTAATTCCTTCAAGTTAGCATGGAACAAACAAATATGAAATGTCCAGTTATCAATTTGTAAGTGATATTACTTCATATGATCAGTATTTCTGAAATTTCAGTAATTCACATTGTTTGACCCAACCTGTTCAAATTAGCAATTTTTTTTTTTTTTTACTATATCATGAAGTAGCAATACAACATCCAATTGACAGGTTCATTAACAAGGTTCTGAAACTCAATTATCCCACCAACACAGAATAATACTAAAATAGCTTCAATGAACAAAAATGAGTATTCCCAGCAATGCTAAGCCACTGGTATATAGTGCTTTAGTGAGGTGCAAACAGGGTAGGTGTAATAAGCACCTGAAAGACTTGCTCAAATGATATATAATTGTGAAACAGCAGTCAATAGACATGGATAGCAGCAACTGAGAACTGGTCAATGCTTCAGCTGGCTTTATGTGAACATATACTATTAGAAGGCCTTTGGGCTATCCAGTCTTTGTGGCCACACTACCCATAGATACTAAAGTGTATTTCACTTTGTACATACGTGACAATTGTCTCTGAAAAGTCTGTAAATTTAGTTTTGATAAATGTAAACACTTGGTATTTTAAAAAGTCCTATGGTGATACATATTGCAAAATAAATAATGCTTTTCAAAGTAGATAGCTGTCTTTTTTTTTTGCCATACGTAGAATTTGCTCAAAAGCAAGTTAATATTTTTATTTCCATCAATAATTGTATTTTTGAATAGGAAGGAAAATAACTACTTTGGGCCTAGCTCTATAGTGGCTCTATATATTACACCTACTTAAGACTATTGAACAAAGCTGGAAATTTTAAATGAAAAGTTTGATAAGTTTCACTGACTGTTGAGTCCAATGAAATGAGATACTTTATTAGGTAA